GAGTGGTACCGTCGCCGGTGAACAAGAAGAAGAAGAGGGGTGGGTGGCGGCTAGGGCAACAAAGGGAGGGGAAGAAAATAAACTTAGGTTTTTTTTTGTTTTTGTTTTTATTAGTTTTCTTTTCCTTTGTTTTAAAACCAAACCAACCCAAACTAAAAGCCCAACATAACCAAGCCCAAAAGAAGAAAAAAAAATTCATCCCAACCTAAGATAAAACCAATCACGTAGAGCCCGATATATATAAATTTAATTAAAGTTTAATTTAAAAAAAAGAAAATTAAATGAAAAATCTCTTGATTCGAGACTAACTAACCTGAGGGACTCGAGGCATTACATTCCTCGTTGAGGCTGTTGGGTGTGTTGCCCTAAACTCGTAGTTTGTATTTATGTAAAAACAAATGTATATTCAATAAGTTTATTGTTGAATTCATCACATTGCATTGTCCAAAATCCAATAAACTAAGCATCCAAGGTTATTATCATGTAACCGGGACAGTATATATACTGGGTATATATTTGATATACTAGTTATATATTTTATATACCCCTGATATACGAGGTATATATTTGCTATACCCCTGATATACGAGTTGATAATGTCTCGTGAATAACCTAAAGGGTCTATAGTATATGGATAAGGCTGGGTATCTTATCCTGGCAACACTATGGATACGGCCCACTTTGTAAATGTTACAGACGACTCGCTCCAAGTCGTTCATACGGAGACATGCGGGTGGGGGTATCCTATACAATGAGTTTATATAAGACCGGACTGCGAAATAGCCAATCTTTAGATGTAACACCATTGACTAACAAATTGCTATTTCATAGGATGACCAAACAACTCACTCTCAATCCTGAGTGAGTTATGGACTCCTGCCCTTGAGAGCTCGTCCTTTGATCGGGTGAGAGTGGCCTTAGTTGCAGACTCGATATTCCTACCACTTTCGGGACGAGACCGAGTGGGGAGCTGGGAACATAACTTCACAAGATGGAATTCATTCATTCCCGACTTTAGGGGAGTAGATGAGTGTTCTCTTAAATGCTGACTCTGGGACTTGAACAAGGGGCCCTACCTTCTCATTGGTCCGAGAGGGACTTCCGGTTATTGTTCGGACCATAACCGGGTTGTTCATTAGAGGAGTAGTGGTATTTAAGGAGTAAGATGTAACTCAGGGGTTAAACGGTAATTTGACCCAAGTTGAGTTACAAGCACTCGTGAAGGATTGAATTGTCATTAATGGTCGTATATCCGTGGACACGAAAACATTCTATAGTGAGAAGAGTGTAACTGCGGGTCTTTAGTGGAGTGACCCGTAGTTAACGAATGTCGATTAACTCGGTCAA